TTTTTTTTTTTTCTTTCTCTCTATATTTATATTTTTGAAATATGTATTTCAGAATATTTATAGTTCATATCTTTTCAAACAACCTTTTTCTTTTTTTTTCTTTGCGACAGAGTCTCGCTGTGTTGCCTAGGCTGGAGTACAGTGGTGCGATCTTGGCTCACTGCAACCCACCTTCCAGGTTCAAGTGATTCTCCTGCCTCAGCCTCCTGAGTAGCTGGGACTACAGGTGCATACCATGACATCTGGCTAATTTTTCTGTATTTAGTAGAGACAGAGTTTCACCAGGTTGGCCAGGCTGGTCTTGAACTCCTGGCCTCAGGTGATCTGCCTTCCTTGGCCTCCCAAAGTGCTGGGATGATTACGGGCGTGAGCCACTGTGCCCAGCCAAACCAACTTTATTGAAGTATTACTGAAACACCTCAAAAACTGCATATGTCTAATGCAGTTTGATGTGTTTGGACAGATGCATATACCCATGATACCACTATCACAATCAAGGTAATAAATAAACATATCCATCACATCCAAAGATTTCTGTGCGTGTGTGTGGTGGGGGGTGGGTGGGTATGTGTATGGTAAAAACACTTAACTGGGTGTGGTGGCTCATGCCTGTAATCCCAGCACTTTAGGAGGTCAAGGTGGATGGATCACTTGTGCCCAGGAGTTTGAGGCCAGGCTGGCCAACATGGTGAAACCCCATTTTTACTAAAAATATAAAAATCAGCCTGGCGTGGTGATGCCTATAGTACCAGCTACTTGGGAGGATCACCTGAGCCTGGGGAGGTTGAGGCTACAGAGAGCCATAATCATGCCACTACACTCCAGCCTGGTGACAAAGACCTGCCTCAAGAGAAAAAACAAACAAACAAACCACCAACAAACCCACTAAACATGAAAACACGATCTACCTTCTTAATAAACTTCTAAGTGCACAATACTCTCTCCTTATACATAGTTCACGTATTAAAGACAAAGAGAAGCCTGGAGTTCATCAGCATGACAGAATAATAAACAACTTAATTGATAAATTTCTGGTATCAAGCTTAAGCTGAAATGTCCATCTTTATTTTTCTTTCCCTAATAGCATTAGATCCCATAGTGGCTGACTGGATGACAGGAAGTTACAGGTAGGAGAGGTTTAGAGACCAGCCAGCCTGACCCTGCGCTTTTACTGAGAATGGAATCCAAAAACATTAAGGGACTTTGCAAAACCACAGGGCCTTCATGGCACCTAAGGGATTGGGAACAAAACCCCAACTACTTGTCCAGTATGTGACCTCCCCTAGGACTTACATTTCCCCCCAAATCAAGAGAGACTCAGTTGCAGCCAACATATTCTCAGAACAATATCTATAATCTGAGTTTGCTTAACAAGAGTTTCTTTTCACTGGCATTACAAGCCAGACTCTGATTCATGGATTTTCTAATTATTTTTTGAGAGGTCCAGAACTGGCTTCTGCAATTTAAAACAATGCATTCAAGCACACCTGAATCTTTTGAAGGAGAGATATCATTCAGGCTCTTTCAGGCCTGGGAATTTCAAAGATGGATACTAATATTTGCTCTGGAACCACCTTATAAGTATGGGTTAAAAAAGCTCACGAGGCCAGGCGCAGTGGCTCACTCCTGTAATCCCAGCACTTTGGGAGGCCAAGGTGAGTGGGCGGATCACCTGAGGTCCGGAGTTCCAGACCAGCCTGACCAACATGGTGAAACCCCATCTCTACTAAAAATACAAAATTAGCTGGGTGTGGTAGCACACGCCTGTAATCCCAGCTAATTGGGAGGCTGAGGCAGGAGAACTGCTTGAACCTGGGAGGCGGAGGTTGCAGTGTGCCAAGATCGCACCATTGCACTCCAGCCTGGGCAACAAGAGCAAAACTCCATCTCAAACAAAAGAACTCATGAGAGCCTAAGGAAGAAATTGGGGACAATAATTCCTTACGTCTCACCAGCTGAAAGAGCTTTATGGCGGCTTGATAGAGACTGTCAGTGCTGGGATGCGGAAGAATGTTTGGAATTGCAGTTCCGGGATCAGCAGATCCCATCAGAATGTAAATCATTTAACAGTGTAAAATGGCTTCACAGAAACACTGTCCAGGGTTTCCACAATAGATGGTTTCTACTCTCACTATGTTCATTTCCATTCCCACCTGAATGCCTTGGAGTGCACTTGTTAGTGTACTGCTGTATATACGCTTTTCCGTCAAACATTTACACCTGTGTTGCAGCCAATGGTCAACTGTGGGCTAATATTTAATGTTTGCTGAGAGGCTTATCTGATGCGCAACTCAAAACCAACCATCAGAAAATAACACTTTTAAGTGCGAGTGTAGCTTTCAGTTTGCCATTTGATTCATCTGCTAAATGAAAATGTCTATATCTGCGTAGAGGTGGGGGAAACAAAGAAAGGTCTTTTATTTTACACAGCCCATTATGCGGTTCCAGGAGACTGTCTTTGGTGAACATTAACTATAACGTAACTGTTATCCACAGGAAAGCTACTAAATGCACCGTTAAACATCTAACCTGATTGATCCAAGCTCTCTCTCACCATAGTTGTTCTCAGGGTAAGTTAAGTGAGAGCTGGCACCTTTACTGTGGTGACTTTTCAGGTGGAAAGTCTGACCTTGGCCATCTCCCAGTGAAGATATCAAAAACAGGGAGAGCTGAAATGTGGCCAGTGAGAGGGAAAATCATTAAAGAATGAGGCGCCCCAGACACTGCTCATGCTTACAAAGTCTGTTGGGAAGAGCTGTGTGATTACTTCGGACCTCTCCCATTTAACACACATTGAGTTTAAGGATCATTTCATTGGATGTTCCCAGAGGACGCCACAAAGATGGAAAGGGTGTGGACAGGAACAGTCTAGGGTGGCAGGATGGACAGGAACAGTCTGGGGTGGCAGGGTAGACAGGAACAGTCTGGGGTGGCAGGGTGGACAGGAACAGTCTGGGGTGGCAGGGTGGACAGGAACAGCCTGGGGTGGCAGGGTGGACAGGAACAGCCTGGGGTGGCAGGGTGGACAGGAACAGTCTGGGGTGCCAATATCCTGGCAGTCTTTGCCCAATTTCCCAGTGTCACTTGATAGATTTTCCCCCTTGTACACCTCACCCTTCCAGGTGACTTTATCCTTAAGATTCTACCACGATGGAGCAGAGCTTTAGGCTTCAGCTCACTCTGCAGATTTCCCCTGGTACTCTAAAACCTGAAAGCCATGTTCCACACAGAGGAGTTATTAGATGTTTTCAGGGGTCTTCCTAGCAGAAATGTGCTTCCATATCACATTAAATAAATGACTCTCCCGGCCGGGCATGGTGGCTCATGCTTGTAATGCTAGCACTTTGGGAGGCCAAGGTGGGTGGATCACGAGGTCAAGAGATGGAGACTAACCTGGCCAACATGAAGAAACCTCATTTCTACTAAAAATACAAAATTAGCTGGGTGTAGTAGCACATGCCTGTAGTCCCAGCTACTCAGGAGGCTGAGGCAGGAGAATTGCTTGCAACTGGGTTGTGGAGGTTGCAGTGGCTGAGGTCCTGCCACTACACTCCAGCCTGGTGACAGAGCAAGACTCCGTCTCAAAAAAAAAAAAAAAAGACTCTCCCTTTTCCTTATCTGACTTCTCCAACAGTCCAGAGGTGGGTTTTTTTTTCTTTTTTCTTTTTCTTTTTTTTTTTGAGACAGGATCTCACTGTGTCACCCAGGATGCAGTGCAGTGGCACAGTCTCAGCTCACTGCAACCTCCGCCTTCTGGGTTCAAGCAATTCTCATGCCACAGCCTCCCAAGTAGCTAGGCTTACAGGCGTGTGTCACCATGCCTGGCCAATTTTTGTATCTTTAATAGAGACGGGGTTTCACCATGTTGGCCAGGCTGGTCTCAAACTCCTGATCTCGAGTGATCTGCCCACCTCGGCTTCCCAAAGTGCATGAGCCCCCATGCCTCGCCAGAGGTGGCTTCTTTCATGAGTTTCTGCTCAAGCAGGGGAACTACACTGAAGGAGACCACAAAGAGGGTGTGAAATATCATTCTTTCCAGG